ATTGTTGGAGGTGATTTTAAAAGATAGGATTTACAGAATTTAGGGAGAAAAACGTTGATTAAGGATAATCACCTTTGTGCAAGGCAAATCATGTCTCATGAAATTGATTGAGTTTTTTGAGGAAGTTACAAAAAGATTGAGGCAAAGCAGAAGATTTTGTTTGCTTGGACTTTCGTGAAACCTTTGACAAGATACCGCATGGTAGACTAATTAGGAAAGTTAGGTCACATGGGATTCAGGGTGAACTGCTGATTGGATACATAATTGTTTTAAAGGCAGAAGAAACAGTGGTGGAGAACGGCTGCTTTTTGAACTGGAGACCTGTGACCAGCAGTGTCTCTCAGGGCTTGGTTCTGGGTCCTATTTTGTTCCTCTTTTATGTACGTGATTTGGACGAGAATATAGAAGGCATGTTTAGTAAGTTTGCAATGACACCAAAATTGGTGGCATAGTAGACAGTGAAGAAGGTTTTCTAAGATTACAAAGGGATCTTGATCAAATGGGTCAATGGGATGAAAAATGGCAGATGGAGTTCAATCTGGATAAATGTGAGGTATTGCATTTTGGTACAACAAACAGGGGCAGGACTTATGCAATTAATGGTAGGGCCTTGATAGTGTTGTAGAACAGAGGGACCTAGGAGTTCCTAGGAGTTCAGGTACAAAATTCTTTGAATTTTGCATCGCAAATAAACAGAGTGGTTAAAGAGGTGTTTAGCATGCTTGCCTTCATTGCTCAGACCTTTGAGTATAGGAGCTGGGAAGTCATGTCGAGCTTGTACAGTGATGTGGAGGTGCCAGTGTTGGACAGGGGTGGACAAGGTCAGAAGTCACACGACATAAGGTTATGGTCCAACAGGTTTATTTGAAAATACAAGCTTTTGGAGTCTTACTCTGAAGAAGGAGTAAGACTCCAAAGGTTTGTGTCTTCAAATAAAGCAAGAAAGTTGGAGTATAACCTGGTGTTGTGTGATTTCTGTGGTTGTACAGGACATTGGTCAGGTCTCTTCAGGAATACTGTCCAATTCTGGTTACCCAGTTGTAGGAAGGATATTATTAAGCTAGAGAGGATTCAGAGGAGATTTACCAGGATGTTGCCAGGTATGAAATGTTTGAGTTATAAAGAAAGGCTGAATAGGCTGGGACTTTATTCATTTGAGCACAACAGGTTGAGAAGTAACCTTTAGAGGTTTATAAAATCATGAGGTCTTTAGATAGGGTTAATGGTAGGTGTCCTTTCCCTAGGATGAGAGATTTCGAGACTAGGGGCACATTTTTAAGGTGAGAGGAGAGAGATTTTAAAAAGACAGAAGGGCAAAGTTTTTACACAGAGGTGGTTCACGTGTGGAATGAACTTCTTGAGGAATTGGTAGATGTGGGAAAAGTTACAACACTTAAAAGACACTTGGATAAGTACATGAATAGGAAAGAGTTGGAGGGATATGGGCCAGGAGCAGGCAGATAGGACTCGTTTAGTTTGGGATTATGTTTGGCATGGACTAGTTGGACCGAACGGTCTGTTTCTGTGCTGTATGACTCTATATCTCTAAGTCTTTGATACTTTAAATATCCCATTAATACTAAAGAGAATAGGGGAGGAATTAAGTACCATTACCACCACTAAAGAAATATTAGACAAACTAATGGACTAAAGACAGATAAGTCCCCTCGTCCTGATAGTTTGTATCTTAGGATGTTAAAAAAGGTAGCTACAGAAATAGTGAATACATTAGTTGTAATTTTCCAAAAATTGCTTGATTCTGGAGAAGTACTAGAGGTTTTGAAAACTGCTATTGTGACACCTTTATTCAAAAAGAGAAGGAGGCAAAAAGCAGGTAACCATAGGCCAAATAGTCTAACATCTATTGTTGGAAAAATATTGAGATCCATTATTAATAAAGTAATAGCAGAACATTTGGAAAATCATAATCTAATCAAATACAGTCAGCATGACTTCATGAAAGGGAAATCTTTCTGACTGATTAATTATAGTTTTTCGAGGAAATCTCAACCATAGTGGATAAAGGAGAACCAGTAGATGTGTTCTTTTTGGACTTCCAATGAGGTACCTCCCAAAAGGTTAAGTCATACAGATAACAGCCCACGGTATTAGAAGTAGTATATTGGCATTTTAGCCTTCCTGGAGTTGGCTACCTTGGCTAAAGCAATGTAGGAAGAAGGTCAGTGACCCTCCCCAGTCCCCCAGTATAAATGCCACCACCTTCACTGTTACCTCACACTGACTTTATCTCTGCTACTGTACCCACCTTCCACGAAGGCTCATGGTTTACCACTCTCACTATTTCCTGCAGCATCTTCCTCATTCACTCTCTCACTTAGCTCAGTCCGTGACACCAGTAACCCTGCGTGGCCTCTGCACTGCCTACTCACTTGCATGGGACACCTGCCCAGCTGCACCCACAGTAATAGCTGTGTCACCCATTTTCATCTTGTCTCTCTCTTGGTCCAGGAACAAAACAGCCTACAATAGGGCAGAAATTCTCAATATGAATGATGTGTTTCTTGCTATTTGGCTCCTCACCACATAAGGAGAGGATCCTGTTTCTGACCCCTGAATCAGACTGAGGCTGCTATTGACTAACAATGCTGGGATCGTTTGAGTGAAGGCTATTTCCTGAAGCTGAGAACTGCTGACATATATAGCAAACTCCCTGGGCTTAGTGTGTCTGTACTAAGTGGCATGGCAAGACAGTAGTAATATGAAGGGGAAAAGTGTAAAAGGCAAGGCAATGGAAGGTATTAGGCCAAAGAGATTCTGTACAAAATAAGTGAGCATTATGAATGAGAGAGAAAAGTCTGGAGATGCAGCCTGGTTTAGTCAATAAGCTGGATGTGTGTCCCTAAGCAAGTGTCTTTACAGTTACATTAAAATTATAGTTGCCAGTACAGTCGAAGGTTCAGCATTGAAATGCAGAAATGCCAAGTACGTAGATCAGGGATGTGCCAAGAAGAATCTTAGAGGATGTCAGATGCTAATGATCGTGGATGTGGAGTGCAAGTGGCTGGTGTCCAACATGGAGGCCACTTGAAGTAATCAGTGAGCTTAAACCTCTAAGCACCCACTGTACCTTTCCATGTCAGGTTTCCAGACATCTAGTTTGTTGAGTGAACTGGAATATTAATATGGTGAGTTGGGGCAGCCAACAAGGAACATAACAAGTATCGATCACCATCAATTGACCAAGTGAGAATCTCACCATGCCACTTATGACAAGTGTTAAAAATGGAGCAAGATGATCTTGATGTCGAGATGCGCCTCACAGGACTTCTCACCTTGTTCGACATCGCTCAGACACCTATAAGATCCCACCCATTGTCATTTAATGTTGCCACTGTTATTAACAGCAAATTAAATTTGAAGAATTCAATTGATATTTACTCCATGTTCACTTTTGCATCTGGAGAAGCATTAATCAGTTTGAGAAGTAATTCAGTTGATGATACACTGTTGCAAATTAATAGGCAAGAAGAAACAACTAAGAACCCATTTGGAGGGCTGAGAAGTGCTGGGAGACTCTTCACATTACCATCACTGAACTCCAGGTCCATTTAACCGAGCACCATAAAAGCCTTTGATTTGCACAATACGATGTGAACTATTGTGTGACTCTGAATTTATTTGGTGAACTCATCACAAACATCATCAGTGCTCAACTATCTAAAATTAAATTTTAATTATTAAATGTCAATGGTGGAATAAAGGCAAAGTTGCCATCGTCCTAGAGGATCATAGGACTGCTATCTCATTACAGAGAGACAGTTGGTGGTGGTTTATCGTGAGGGACGTCACACATCAGACAAAGGGAAGTGTTGAGATGGAGAATCTTTCATGGTAACCTCAGCCAATGTGGGAATCGAACCCACGCCTTTGACATCACTCTGCATAACAAACCAGTTGTCCAGCCAACTGGGTCATGAAATAACAAACTTTAATATAGAAGGATGCTATCTGGCCCTTTTTGTTTGTGCTAGCTAGCTCTTTGAAAGAACAGTTGGACTTCATTCCACATCCTGGGGACTTATTGTAACATTGTAACTGTTTGCTTTCCACAATCTTCCTTTCCATTCACAGTACTGGCTTTATAACATAAGATTCGAGAAACCTAACATTGTTGTCTTGGTCCTTGATCCTTTATCCTCTTCTATCCTTAACTAAATACTACTCAAAGTAATATCATCCGCAGACTGTGGGTTGTCTTGCATATATTTGCTGAGACTATCCAGCTTACTTCCACACCACCTCTCTTGAAATTGTCATTATTTTTGTGTCAGATCACTTATCCAAAATTCAGATTTTGACAAGCTAATGTTTGTCCTTTGTGGCAGGGACTAAGTTGAGCTTCTACCCTGTATCCTCTCCATCACAAAGACCATCTTAATAATACCCATTTCCATTCCTGCCTAAACCCACCTGTTGCTGAAATTGTCATCTTTGTCTTTGTTACCTTTCAGCATGACCCTCTGTTTAGTTTTCTATGCTCAAGTCTGTAAACTTCAGCTCATCTGAAAATTTTCAACTCATTTTTCATAACGTAGCAAGCCCTGCTCACACATCCTTCCTTGTTCTTGCTGACTACATTGGCTTCTGATCTTCAGGTTGAAAATTGTTACCGGCTCATTTAAATGCTTTCATTGTCCCGCTTTCTTACCTTTTCTAGCCTTACAGCCACCTCTGACCTCTCCGTTCCTCTGACTTTGCATTTATGTATCTCTTTTACATTCATCCCACTGGGTCTGTGTGTAGAAATTGTATCCGAAATATATTTTTGATTGAGGTTGCCTTGTCTAATTGTGTGCAGGAAAGAACCCGCTAGAACATGTCAAACTTTGTGGAAGTGTCTAAAAGTCTAGCAAACAATCACTCACTTAAGCCTCCAGAAGGGATGTTAACTTATACATTGCTGGCTTCAGAATTGTGTGAATAAAACTTGTTTCAATATTAATACTGAAGCAAACAATCAACTGAACTCTAAAGCTCACCTTTTAAGCGCTCACTATTTGTTGTAGTTTGTGACATTTGGTAAACATTCCTCACACGTGCCAAATCTTCCTCTGCCTTTCTTCTTTTTTCTGAAGCTGATGAGCAACGATCATGTAATTTTTCAAGTTCCATTTGGATTTGGGCAAGAGACTGTTGTGTTCCATAAAGTAGCACTCCTGTGTTTTCACGCTCAGTTGTTTGAGTTTTCACTCTCCAAGTCTTGGAATTTTTTAAAAAAAGTCATTAATTACTCTTATCAATTTATTTTCAATCTGTAAATAAAAGTATTTGGAGCACAAAATTCTAATTTATTGGTTTATGTAATAATGCACCCCCACCCCTCAACAGCCTTATAGTATTCTCAATGATGAACATGCATGATTTATTAAGAGATACAGAATTCTGTTGAAATTAGGCAGATAGAGTTTAATTTAGATAAGTGTGAGGTGCTGCATTTTGGAAAGGCAAATCAGTGCAGGACTTATACACTTAATAGTAAGGTCCAGGGGAGTGTTACTGAACGAAGAGACCTTGGAGTACGGGTTCATAGTTCGTTGAAAGTGGAGTCGCAGATAAATAGGATAATGAAGAAAGCGTTTGTTATGCTTGCCTTTATTGGTCAGTGCAGAGTATAGGAGTTGGGAGTCATGTTGTGGCTGTACGTGACATTGGTTAGGCAACTTTTGGAGTACTGCATGCAATTCCAGTCTCTCTCCAATAGGAAGGATTTTGTGAAACTTGCAAGGGTTCAGAAAAGATTTACAAGGATGTTGCCAGGGTTGAAGGATTTGAGCTATAGGGAGAGGCTGAGGGGTGAACTTATTGAGGTTTATAAAATTATGTGGAGCATGGATAGGGTAAATAGGCAAGGCCTCTTCCCTAGATGGGGGATAGGTTTAAGGTGAGAGGGGAAAGATATAAAAGGAACCTAAGGGGCAACTTTTTCACGCAAAGGGTGGTATGTGTATGAAAAGAGCTGGCAGAGGAAATGGTGCAGACTGATACAATTACAACATATAAAAGGCATCTGGATGGGTATATGATTAGGAAGTGTTTAGAGGGATATGGACCAAATGCTGGCAAATGAGATTAGATTTATTTAGGATATCTGGTCAGCATGGATAAGTTAGACCAAAGAGTCTGTTTCCATGCTGTATATCTCTATGACTCTAATTATATTATTTGTCCGATACTGCAGTGTTCAAAAAGAGATGGATTTTTTTTTATCAATTATCAATAACTTGCTTCTGATGCAGCTTTTTAATGGAAAGAGTGAAGTGTTTGGATTGCAAATATCAGGCAAGTCAAAAGACTTATAGTCAAGGTCTGTATCTAACAAACAAAGAAACAATTTTCTACAGAATAGGTTCCCATTAATTGCCATACATAAAAGTTACTGGATGCCACATTACTATTTTATATTATTGGATTAACTGGAATGCATTAAAAGCTGTTATTGCACTTACCAATTCCCTGACCTCCAAGACTAACTTGTCCAATTGCTTTGAAAGGTGGTTCTTCAAAGCTTCCTGGAAGCGCTTCATTAAAGGCTATATTAATAAAAAAGACATTTCTTTTTTGTTCTTTTGTTACTTTGGCGAACCTGCATTTTCTCATCCAACTGACAACAAAAGCAGAGAATGAAGCATTTTTCAAGTTACTACATGAAGTGCTTTGCTTAATGATCAGAGAAAGGACATTTCCTCCACAGAAACATAAACTGTAATTGGACTGAACTGACTTGTTCACAATTGATTGTGATATGATGGATATTATTTACACATAAGAATTATCCCTGACTAAATGGCTTATGCTATATGACTGCTAGTTACAGACAGACAGAAATTTTATACAATTACTCTTTCCCCTCGTGTGACATCACAAAAATATATTTTTGAAATGAGAAGTGCATCCCATAGCCTCCACTCAATAATTCATTTCTGAAGAGGTTATACAGCATTTCAGTTGACTTCAGAAAATGTTGCAATATGGCGAAGAGAGGGCAACCAAGACAACTAATCAGGGGAAAGATATTCTCCTTATCACATAATTTCAGTGGACGCACTTTTCTAGATTCCAAATTCATCAGGTATACGCAATGATAAATTTTGCAATAATTTTTATTCATGAATTAATTATATGGAAAGACTTTGCTAAAAATTAGTATCAAATCTGCAATAAGGATGTCACAATCAATAACCTTCATTAGTATGCACCCCTGGTGCAAGGTGTGCTGGCATGTATATATACATAATGACAGTTTACTGGCAGAAAACCAGTAAAAATCTTCAATCACAAAAATTACAATGATAGATGATAGAGGATGACAAAGTTTTAATCTTATTTTAGAATTTAGATAACTATTACAAACCACACAACTCCTTTTCTTAATATAATACATCAGAATTATTCCCAAGTATTTATTATCTTATATTTTGCTGAATAGCACAGCCCTACTACCAACAACTGTGCCATTGTGTTTATAAAAATCATTAAGACCATAAGATACAGGAGCAGAATTAAGCCGTTCAGCCCTTCGCATCTGCTATGTTATTCGATTATGGCAGATGTGTTTCTCAACCCCATCCTCCTGCCTTCTCCCCGTAACCTTGACCCAGGCATTCAACAAAGTGCCACACAAAAGGCTGCTGCATAAAATAAAGGTGCATGGTGTTACAGGAAATGTATTAGCACAGATAGACGATTGGTTAACTAATAGAAAGCCAAAGATTGGGGATAAATGGTTTTTTTCCTGGTAGGTGATCAGTGGCTAGTGGTGCCTCAGGGATCAGTGTTGGGACCGCAATTGCTTACGATTAATAGAGATTATTTGGAGTCGGGGACCAAGAGTAATGTGTCAAAGTTCGCATATGATACTAAGATGAGAGGTAGAGCAAAGTGTGAAGTGGACACAAAGTCTGCAGAGGGATATAGATAGGTTACGTGAATGAGCAAGGGTCTGGCAGGTATAATACAATGTTGGTAAATGTACAGTCATCCATTTTGATAGGAATAACAGCAAAATGGACTATTATTTAAATTGCAACATGCTTCTGTGCAGAGGGACCTGGGGTATCCTTGTGCATGAATCAAAAAAAGTTGGTTGTGCTGTTGAGAACACAGCTGGAGTTTTGGTCTCCTTACTTGAGAAAGTATGTACTAGCACTGCAAGGAATGCAGAGGAGGTTCACTAAGTTGATTCTGGAATTGAGAGAGCTGGCTTGTGAGGAGCGATTGTGAGGAGACTGGGACTATATTCATTGGAATTTAGATGAATGAGAGGGAATCTTTTAGAAACGTATAAAATTATGAAGGAAAAAGATAAGATAGAAGCTGGAAGGTTGTTTCCACTAGCAGGTGAAACTAGAACTAAGAGGCATAGCCTCCAAATTAAGGGGGAGCAGATTTAAGACTGAGTTGAGAAGAAACTTCTTCACTCAAAAGGTTATGAATCTGTGGAATTCCCTGCCCGGTGAAGCAGTTGAAGCTACCTCGTTCAATACTCTTAAGTGAAAGATAAATAGATTTTTTTTTAACTGTAAAGGAATTAAGGGTTAGTGTGACCAGGCGGTGAGTGAGGCTAAGTCCACAAAAAGACCAGCCATGACCTTATTGAATGGCACAGCAGGCTCAAGGGGCCAGATGGCCTACTCCTGTTCCTATTTCATATGTTTTTATCCCGTTACTAATAAAGAACCTATCTATCTCTGTCTTAAATACACTCAGCAACTTGGCCTCCATAACCTTTTGCAATAATGAGTTCTAAAGAGTCACCATCTTCAGGCTGAAGAAATTCCTCTTCATCTCCGTTCCAATGGGTCGTCCCTTCACCCTGAGTCTGTGCCCTGGGTCCTGGTCTTTCCTACTAGTGGAAACATTTTCTCCACATCCAGACCCCTCAGTATCCTGTAAGTTTCAATCAGATCAGCCCCATCCCTCTAAACTCCATTGAGTACAGAACCAGAATCCACAACTGCTCTTCATATGACAAGCCCTTTGTCCGTGGAATCATTCCTGTCAACCTCCTGTGGACCTCCTCCAATGCCAGCATATCTTTCCTTAATATGATGTCCAAAACTGGTCACAATATTCCAAATGCAGTCTGACCAGAACCTTTTACACCCTCAGCAGTACATCTCTGCTCTTGCTTTCTAGCCCTCTTGAATTTGCCTTCCTAACTAAATAAACCTTGATATTAACCTTAAGAGAATCCTGAACTAGAACTCCCACGTCCCCTTTTGTTTCAAATTTCAAAAGTCTTTCCCCATTTCAAAAAAATCATCCACGCCTCTATTCATCCTACCAAAATGTATAATCTCAGACATAGAATACTGTGTGGCAATCTGCCATCTCTTTGCCCACTCGCCTAGATGTCCAAGGTCTTCTGCAGCCTCCCCACTTTCTCAACACTACCCATCCCTCCAATTATCTTTGTGTCATCTGCAAACTTGGCAATAATGCCCTCAATTTCTTCCACTAGTTACCAGCTGCCATCCCGAAAAAGATCCCCTTCTCCTTACTCTCTGCTTTCTGCCAGTCAGCCAATCCTCTATCCATGCCAGTACATTGCCTCTAACACCATCGGCTCTTATTTAGTAGCCTCCTGTGTGGCACCTTGTCAAACGCCTTGTAGAAATCCACATAGATCACATTCACTGGCTCTTTTTCGTCAAACTTGCTTGTTACCTCCTCGAAGAATTCTAACAGATTTGTCAGACAGGATTTACCATTGAAGCTGTGCTGGCTCCACCTTCTCTTACCATACACTTACAAGCACTCCGCAATCTCATCCTTAATAATGGACTCTAAAATCTTACCAATGACCAAGATCAGACCAACTGGCCTACAGTTTCCTGTCTTCTGCCTCCCTCCCGTTTTAAACATGGGTGTTAGATTAGCCACTTTCTAGTCATCTGGAACCCTTGCTGATGCCAATGATTCCTGAAAGATCACCATCAATGTCTCTACAATCTCCTCAGCTATCTTCTTCAGAATTCTGGGGTGGGGTGCAGTCCATCAGGGTCTGTGTGATTTATCGCCTTCAGACTTTTCAGCCTCCCAGCACCTTCCCCTTCGTGAGGGCCACCACACTCACCTCTGCCCCTGATAACGGTCAGGACTGCTTTAACTCTAGTAATTTTGCCATTAAACTTTAGCTCATTTAAAGTTCAAAATATGTATGGATTTTTAAAATAATGACTTTAAATTTTTTTTATATGGTTAAAGATCAAATGTGAAAACATTTCTTACATGATCTGGGTCAAGCACAACCAATTCTGTTGGTTCTTCATCTGTATCTGATTCTTCTTCTGACTCACATTCAGGGCTTTTAGGACATTGCATTTGCAGGCCTACAAAAAAAGGAAATATAATTTTGTTTCTCCTGAAAGATAGAAGGCACTGGAATATAGAAAATAATGCCAACATATCAATATGAGGTTAAGTAAAAATCCAGTTCTCTCATAATATTGTTGCTGGACCTGGTTTGGTAATGTGCTGTGTTACAAATCCAAAAATTATTATAGCCAGTAATGTTACTCTATTCTCCATCTCAAGATATTGACAGTTGCATGAGTATCTGCAATATCTGGTATTCATCCGAAAGGAATGAAATCTGCCACGTTTACAGGGTCTGGCATACTTGTGACTCCAGATTCACAACGATATGGTTGACTCTTAAATCCCAACTGAAATGACCTAGCAGTGCCTACATCCCACAGGAGATATTTTCAAAAACTAATAGTTTTCTAACTATATATTATCAAAAATCTTTGCAATAGAGATAAAATATTGTGCTGGCAATCATTTTCAATACAAAATTTCCTGGAATAGAATTCTATTAGATTGACAAGACTGGTTCCAGGAATGAGGGACTTCAGTTATGTGAATAATTTGAAAAACGTGGAGTTGTTGTCCTAAGAGAAGAGAAGGTCAAGAGGATAGTATTCAAAATCAGGAAGGTTACTTGCAATATACATTAATGATTTAGTTGAGAGAACCAGACATCGTATTTCCAAATTTGCAGATGACGCTAAGCTGGGTGGAGAATGAGTAGTGAGAAGAATGCAGAGATGCTTCAGTGTGATTCGGACAAGTTGAGTAATTGAGCAAATGCACGGCAGATAGAATATAATGTGGATAAATGTAAGGTTATCCACTTTGGGAGCAAAAACAGGAAGGCATATTATTATCTGAATGGTGATAGATTGGGAAGGGGAGCAATGGGACCTCGGTGTCCTTATGTTGAAAGTAAGCGTACGGGTGCAGCAGTGAAGAAGGCAAATTGTAATTTGGCCTTCATTGCGAGAGAATTTGAGTACAGGAGCAGGGATGTCTTGATGTACAGACTTTTGGTGAGATCACACCTGAGTATTGTGTGCGGTTGTGGCCTTGTTATCCGAAGAAGCAATTTCTAGCTATGAAGAAAGTGGAATCAAGGTTTACCACACTGATTCCTGGGATTGCGGGACTGATATGTGAAGAGAGACTGGATTGGTTAGGGCTATATTCACGGGAGTTTAAAAGAATGAAGAGGGATCTATAGAAACCTATAACCTTTGAACAGGGCTAGACCGGGTAAATGTGAGATGTTTCTGATGGCTGGAAAGTTCAGGAAAAGGAATCATAGTTTAAGAATATGGAGTAGGCTATTTAGGTCTGAGATGAAGAGAAATTTCTTCACCCAGACAGTGGTTGAGGCCAAAATAGTGGATGTTTTCATGAAGGAGTTATGTATAGTTCTTAGGGATAAAACGATCAAAGGGTATGGACAGCCAATTCTAGGGCCCCCTGTATGTCAAACAGCATTAGGGTAAGATAAAGCAGATAAGAATAGCTTATTAGACACCGCGAATTCACTACTGCTAAAGTCAAGAGGAGGATATAAAGTACAAGAATGAAATTGAAAAGAAAACAAGGAAAGCAAATTGAAAGCACACTAGCAAGTAAAATCAAGGAGAATCCAAAAGTGTTTTTTTTTCGATTAAATTCAGAGTAAGACAATAACTAAGGAAAATGTAGGGCCCTTAAGAGAAGAAAAAGATAATCTGTGTGTAGAAGCCGAAGATGGAATTATTGTTCTGAATGAATACTTTGTCTCTCTTCACAAAACAGGTAGATCATGCAGGTATGTAGTTATGTAGGAGTGTGAAATATTAAATGTGATAAACGTAGTGAGATAAGAAGTATTTCAAGGATTATCATCCTTGAAAGTGGAGACAACACCAGGGCCAGATGAAATGTACTGCTTTGCTGTTACAAGAAGCCATGGAGAAAATTTCAGTTGCTTTAACCATCAACTTCCAATCCTTACTAAATACTAGTGTGGTCCCAGTCATTTGGAAGACAACTAATGCTGTATCATTGTTTAAAAATAGCATGACAAACCCAAGTATTATGGGCAAGTCAAACCTTGGGAGGAAGCTGATTATCGGAATCAATTCTCAGAGAAAGAATAAACTATCACGTAAAAAGGCACAGACTAAACAAGAACAGTTAGCAAGGATTTGTTAAGTGAGGATTGTGCCTCGTTTTAGATAATAAGGAGGATGGATGAGGGTAATGCAGTTGATGTGCTTTGCTTGAATTTTGGCAAGGCTTTTGATAAAGTTTTGTATGGCAGACTGGTTTTAAAAAATTGCCCATAGGATTGAGGGGAATGTAGCAAACTAGATATGAAATTAGCTCAGTAGCAAGAAATAAAGGGTAAAGCTTGACTGATTTTTTTTCTTTTAACTGGAACGCTGTTTCTAGTAAGTAGTAAATTAGTTTAGTAGATTAGACTAGTTTCCATAGCACTGAGTAGTAGATTCCTGCTTTTGGAGATAGGGGTTAATGATTTGGACTTAAACAATATGGCACATAATCAAGAAGTTTGCAGAGAAAACAATAATTGGCCACATGGTTGATAATGAAAGGAAGCTGTAGAATGCAGGAAGATGAACTGGTCATGTGGGCAGGAACAAAAGGACAAATGTGAGGGAGACTCTGCTGGAAGGTTGGAACTAGAGTAACTTGGGGCAGAGATGTCTGCTGCAAGAGAATCATGTATGAATTATAAATAAATACTCTTTGAAGAAACACCTCAAGGTCTGGACTATGCTTATCTGAACACAGAAAACAATAAGTTCCAATAATTTTCCCTACATTTTGACTGAACTCTGTTGGGATAAAGTTCTAAAAATAACAGCAACACTTTACCTTTGCTCAAGTGATCATTCTGGATGTATAAGTATCAGCCTACAAAATTATTCCTAGGCTGGAAATAGGGATTGTGACAGAGAGTAAGGAAGGAAGTACTCAAGCTTGAACATGATTCCATGCTCAGCTAAAATTTAAGTATGTACATTTTTCAGTAGAATGCACTGGATAATGATGAAAAGTGGGAATCGTATTCAACTAGTCACCTTTCTACACCAATAGCCATGAATTCAATCACAGATTGCCTACTACTGCATAATAGCCTCAGACCGGCTTTGCTGGTATTATCAAATTGCAATCAACCTTGGTAAGCAAGTGGGCCATAGAAGATAGGAAGACAAAAATATTCCAATATTAAATATTTGAAATTATCATGCGAATTGTAAAATATGTAAAGTCACTGAAAAATACATTTACCATATTTGTTTCTGGTTCCCATGTGTCTTCAATTAGTTCTAGTGATTTGGAAGATTCCGAAGAGGGTGTCCTATCTCCTTGCTCCATCATATCAGTTTCTCCCTGATTTCCATGAAAATGCAGAGAACTGTCAAATGATTGTTTAGAGTTGCCCAGACAAGTAATACCTTAAACCTGTATTTTTTTTTGGTTGCAATGAGACTTTCATTTTCAACTAAGTTCTACTTTCATAACCTCTTGAACAAAAAAAGTCATGAAAGATTTTACAAGCTAAAAAAAAACTGGAGATCAAACAGCATTAGGTATGATGAGATAGCATGAACTGCAGATGCTGGAGTCAGTGGAGATACAATGTGGAGCTGGAGGAACGCAGCAAGTCAGGCAACATCAGAGGAGTGGGAGAGTCGACGTTTCAGGCCTAGACCCTTCATCAGGACTGGGAAGGGAGCAGGAACCTGGGAAATAAATAGAGGGAAGAGGCGTGGGGCTAGGGTTAGGTAGATGGGATGGCGATAGGTGGATGCACCTGACCCTACCTGTCCAACTCCTTCCCCACCTATCTGCCCCATCCTTCCCACTGATCAATCCCCACTACCCCTATTGCCATCCCACTTACCTTACCCAGCCCCACTCCTCTTCCCTCTATTTATTTTCCAGTTCCCTTCCCCCTCCCAAGCACTGAAGATGGGTCCAGGCCTGAAACATCAAGTCTCCTACTCCTCTGATGCTGCCTGACCTGCTGTGTCGATTAGGTTTGACGACTAAGGCAAAATTCAAGAGGGAGGTTTTAAGAATTCAAATGAAAGAAGTGGGAAACAATAATGCACAGAATTTAGCAAGACCATTTCAGGTTTGGGATCAAAAACACTGAAGTTCCAACTCTACTTGCCAGCCAACGTTATCAGGATACAGAGGGCATGTATTGAAATGTATGATGAAGACATGTTGAAAAGGTACACAGGGCCATATCACAAAGCACTTGTAAATTAAAGAAACAATTGTGAAAATGGTGAGTTTGGGATGTGAACATTTTTCTAAAAATAGAGGGACAGAAATTTGGTCTAGTTTTGTAGCTTATGTAATCAACTCCACACCAAGGGAACAGGGATGATTTATCTCTGCCCAGTTATGATTCACTGTCTTTCTTTTAAACTCACTCGTGGGATGTGAGTATCTCTGGTTGGTCAGCATTTATTTCCTTTCCCTAGTTGCCCTTGAGAAGGTGGTGGTGCTGAGCTGACTTCTTGAACCACTGCAATCCACGTGCTGTAGGTTGACCCACGGTGCACTTAGGGAGGGAATTCTGGGATTTTGACCCAGCAACAATGAAGGAACAGTGATATATTCCCAAATAAGGATGGTGAGTGCTTGGAGGGGATCTTGAGGTGGTGTTCCCATGTATCTGTTGCTCTTGTTCATCTAGATGGAAGCGGTCATGGGCTTAGAAGGTGTTGTCTAAGGATCTTTGGTGAATTTCTACAGTGCATCTTGTAGATAGTACAGAATGCTGCTACTGAGCGTCAGTGGTAGAGGGAATGGATGCTTGTGGATGTGGTGCCAATCAAGCTAATCGACCTCCAGCCTATGCTTTCTTTGATTTACCATTACACCCAATATTGCCATCGAGGTCACAGAGGATGGTCAAAATTTTAAAAAAATTTTCATCTTTATACATAAGGAACATTAGTTGATGGGTCATTTAGCCTTGCAGGCCCGTTTCACCACCGTTCAGTGAGATCATAGCTGAACTGCAATCTAACTCAATAATTTGAGTGAACTCAAATAAATTAATTTCTTTGCACCAATTTCACAAAAAATATAAATCTTACATTTAAAATTAACAACTGATGTAACATCAATTGCCATTTGAGAAAGAGAGTTTTAAATTTCTACCAGTCCTCAAGTGCGGCATTTTTTCTTAATTTCATCCCTGAAAGATCTGACTTGAAATTTTGACCTTTAGTTCCAGACTTCCCAGTGGACATAGTTCTGTTCTATTTGCTCCCCTAAATATTCAGGAAATTTTGATGAATGTCAGGGTACACAGTGTTTTTCTCTTAAGTTTTGGAGTTCCGGTATTATTTTGGTAAAACTACAGCACACATCCTTCATGGCCAATAGAAATATCAAATGTGTGTCTGCAACTGAACACAATACACTCACACCCTGCTAAACATGGATTTGCTACCTATGGACTCATGTATTCGCTACCTATGGACTCATGTATTCACGAGGTCAGCCAGGCTTGACTTTCTTTTCTCCATTGACAGCCTGAAGAATCACATGGTCCTTTGCAATAAATAGGGCATTTCATTTTGGCAGTTTTTTTTGTTTATCTGTGGGAGGTACATATTCCCACGGATAATAAGAATCTGGTTGACTGTACTCTAGATAGAGTCTAACCATAGTTTTCTAGTACAGGAGCATCCCACTTGGCTTTTGATTATCTTCCTTCTCTATTCATGCCACTTTATAAATCTTTGTACATAACCCCACAAACCTCTTTACAACTCCACTATTTCCAATTTTCACCATTTAGAAAGTACATTTATTTTCAAGTTAAAGTGGATGATCTCAGGTTTGCCTACATTGAAATCCATTTGCCACTGGTTTGTTTATTCACTTAGATATCTATATATCTTTGTAATATTCTGCTTCCATTCAAACTGCATAACATTTCCTGAATTACATCCCACATAACAATAAAATATTAAACATTCTAAAAATTAAGACTTTTTTTTTTTATCCCTGACATTTTCACCTACTTCTGGAAATGTAGTAAGTTCTGAAGCAAGAGGCAAACCTCCTTGGTCAGCTACATCAGCTTCTCCCTGATTTGTGTGAAAAGGAAAATTATTGTCAGATGATTGTTCCAGGGTTGCCCAAACAAATAAAAATTTACACAGTAATGCATGCCACCATCTGAAAGGCTCAGAAACAAAAGAATCAAAAAAGAGACAAAAAACAAAATTTGTTTGCAAAGGGGATATGTTAGAGGGTGGGGGGGGGGGGCGCAAAATAAGGGTAAAGATTTTAAATAACAGTGAAAAACAAGCTGAGAATTCATTATCCACACATAACACTTCGCTTATCATATGTGGTTGTTGCTTAATTTTCTACAGTCATGATGACATGAGACAGGTGCGATTGCTTGCTCTCCGGAAGTCAAGCAAACACTTAACAGCTGACCAAAAGGATAACGTGATGGAGCAGAGTTCCTTCTGCACTGAATGTTTAATTGCCTCATCAGTTCTGGCAGCTCCTGAGCAGATGTATACATAACTGTTCCAAATATCTTTCCATTGGAGGGCAGCAGGAATTACAGTAACGGTAAAACAGACTGACATACAGTATTGCCTCTGACACAATCTATAGAAATTTTAGCAGCACTCTAAGTAAAGTACATTGTAATTATAAAGAAGATAGTTTTGAGACACCAACTTGGAAAAAACGCATTATTCAGAGACAGAAAGGGGTGCTGAACTTCAAAGCAGCTCTCAGTTTAAGCATCTGAGCGCTTGCAAGAATTGCTTTTCATAGTGTTGTGGCAGAAGCAACTGCAGCAAACTTTAATGGTAGATTTTTTTTTGCCATAGGCCTTCCTTTTGCTAAAAAGTTCCATTTTCATAGAAACTTGAACAAGACAAAAGAAAACAAAACATTACAAAGTGAAAAATTAACTCGATATCAAGCAGTATGTACTAAGGTGACTAAAGACAAAATTCAAGAGGTAGTTTTTAAGGATGCAACTGAAGAAATCAAAAGACATTGCAAGATATCAGAGTTTAAGGAAACCATTTCAGGCTTGGAATCAAAAGGGCTAAAGCTCTGACTCTAGTTATCAGCCAAGGAAGGAAAAATGCAAAAGAGGTTAGAATCTTAAAGGCAGAGGAATATAGGAACAGGAGAAGGTCTAAAGATGTGCAGGTTTGGGTAATTTAGCATTGCCAATCAACCTTACTGTCCAGGGATATGCAGAAGAGGTGGATTAGCTATGGGAAATGCAGGGTTACAGGGATAGGAATGGGGGGTGGGGGGAGTGGTGGTTGGTTCTGGGCAGGATGCTAAAGATAGTTGGGATGAGGACACTTCCCTGACGAACTCCTGCAGAGATGTTCTGCAGCGGAGATGACTGGCATCCAACAACCACAACCATCTTCCAATGTACTAGGTTTGACTTCAACCAGCAGTGAGTTTTCCCCGATTCCCATTAATTAGAGTTTTGCTCAGTCAGTCAGATGTGGCCTTGATGTCAAGGGCAGTCACTCAACTTACTTCTGGAATTCAGCTCTTTTGTCCATATTTGAACCAATGCTGTAATGAGGTCAGGAGCTGAGTGGCCCTGGCAGAACCCAAACAGGTTGTTGCCAAGCAGCACCATTGATGACACCTTCCATCACTTTACTGATGATTGACAGTAAACTTATCAGACAGTAATAGGCAGGTTTAGATTTGTCCTGCTTTTTGTGTACAGGACATGCCTGGGCAATTTTCTGCATTGTTCAGTAAATGCCAGTGTTGCAGTTGTTCTGGAACAGCTTGGCTATGGGTGTGGCAAGTTCTGGAGCACAAGTCTTGAGTACTATTGCTGGAATATTGCCAGAGTCCATAGACTTTGCAGTATCCAGTGCCCTCATCTGTTTCTTGATATCACATAGGGTGAATCAAATTGGTTGAAGGCTGACATCTGTGATACTGGGGACCATTGAAGGAGACTGAGTTGGATTATCTGCTTAGCACCTTTGACTGAAGACTTTTGTGAACATTTCAGCCTTGTCTTTTGTTGGGCTCTTTCCTCATTGTGGTTGGGTTATCTGTTGAGCCTCCTCCTCCTCCAGTGAGTTGTCTAACAGTCCACCACCATTCATGACTTTGGATGTGGCAGGACTTCAGAGTTTAGATATGGTCTGTTGATTGTGGGATTGCTTAGCTCTGTCTATCATCAAACTGTAGGCCTGGCTGTCTTGCACAAAAGCTGAAAGGACATCAAAACTGCAAGAGCTGAGTCTCCTGCATTCCGGCCTTCTGAGTCTGCTCATCTGTCTCACTTTCCTGAGCCTAACAACTGGCCAGATCAGACAATTTTCTCCTAAGTGGAGTGACTGCCTCCTGCAAAGTCATAGCGTCATAGAGATAGATATACAGCACAGAAACGGACCCTTCAGTCCAACTCGTCCATGTCAACCTGATATCCTAGATAAAACTAGTCCCATTGGCCAACATTTGGCCCATTTCCCTCTAAACTGTTCCTATTCATATACCCATCCCGATGCCTTTTAAATGTTGTAATTGTACCAGCCTCGACCACTTCCTCTGGCAGCTCATTCAATACACATACAACCCTCTGCATGAAAAAGTTGCCCCTTAGGTCCCTTTTAAATCTTTCCCCTCTCACCTTAAACCTATGCCCTCCAGTTTAGGACTCCCCTACCCTGGGGAAAAGACCTTGGCTATTTGCCCTATCCATGCCCCTCATGATTTTATAAATCTCTTTAAGGTCACCCCTCAGCTTCAATGCTCCGGGGAAAATAGCCCAGCTTATTCAGCCTCTCCCTGTAGCTCCTTCCAACCCTGGCCACATCCTTGTAATATTTTCTGAACCCTTTCAAGTTTCACAACATCTTTCCTATAGCAGGGAGACCAGAATTGAACAAGGTATTCCAAAAGTGACCTAACCAATGTCCTGTACAGCCGCAACACCCATAATCAATACACTGACCAATACTAAACATAGTGTAAACATCAGTGAACCTCTCCATTTCTGACCTTATGATGGAGAGAAAGTTATTGATGTAGCAGCTGAAGATGGTTGGAATTAGGATACTACCCTGAAGAACTCTCGCAATTATGTTTCTGTGACTGAGACAACTTGCCTCCAACAAACAAAGCCACCTTCATTGTGTTTGATATTAATCCAGCCAAGAAAGTTTTCTTCCGACACCAAAAAACAGACTCCCTGATGCTCAGCTAGGGTCATGTAAGGACGATTTGATTGGAGTCTTATTACATGTTCCCGACAAGGACAGAAACACCAAAATCAACAAGAAGTGAGAGTATCAAGGCTGCATTTTATTGAATGTAGAATAAAGGAGCCTGAGAAGTCACACCCAAGCCAAGTTGTTTCACTCTGTTTAGTATACTGGTATATAATTGACAATGTGGGAAATGAACTCGGACAAATACAATCCAGCAATTACTTAACTATAGCTTGATATTATGTGAAATGAATTGACTTCAGGCTGACATCAATCACGTGTCACGTGATTTAGAGGGAAGGTGATCACCAAGTGGTATGGTCACTGGACTGTAAATCCAGAAACCCTGGTAATGTTCTGGGGCACAGGTTTGAATACCGCCATGGCAGATGCTGGAAACTGAATCCAATAAAAGTCTGGAATTAAGAGTCTAATGATGACCATGAAACTGCTGTCAATTGTCAGAAAAACCCACATGGTTCACGAATGTCCCTTAGGGAAGGAAATCCGCCATCCTTACCTGATCTGGCTAACATGCGACTCCAGATCCACAGCAATGTGGTTGAAACTTAACTGCCCTCTGGGGCAATTAGGGATGGGCAATAAATGCTGGCCTGGCCAATGATGCCAACATCCCATGAATGAATAATAAAAAGTCCAAGATGGTTGCAAACATTTCAGCGTTGTCTTGCAGATGTCCTGGCTCTGCCATTATTGATGATTTGACATTCATGGAGTTCACATATTCATTTACTTATGCACCACAGACACAAACGGACTTGGCAGGATATCTTCACTGAAAATCTGGAACTCCCTCCCTCAGATCATTGTTGGTATTTCCACACCTTTATGATTTCAGATGGCAGCTCACCACCACCGTAACATGGTCAATTAGGGAGGGGCAATAAGTGTTATGCTTGCTTGCCAACAATCTCATGACCAAATAAATAAAAAAAAACAGATTTGACCAGTTTTCTCTCCACATTGCCTGAGGTTAAGTTCCAAAAGGGAAAGCAAAATTCAACTTTGTTCAATGGTATATCTCCTGATATATGAGAAATCAGCCTAGAAAGTACAATTTAATATAACAATTAAAATAACATAAAAATAAAATATGAAATATGATTTAAAAAAAATAGCCAATTACCGTATTTTCTTGTGTATATTCTGGAACATTTCCAACAATATCTGGTGATATGGGATGTTCTGAAGTGGGTGCCTGATCTCTATCCTCAGCAACATCTTCAGTAGTTTCTATCTGATTTGTAAGAAAATGCAACAATTATTAGATGCCACACAATATATGCCTTTATTTTAAGGCTTATGTTTAAACATAAGTTTAATGTTTAAAGTGCTCTCTTAAAAAGTAATAATAAACCAGTAAATTATTTGCATTATTCAGTATTGAACATTTGTTTTGTACGATTATTTAGTTCCTTTGTTTCATTTTTCATAGCCCCCACCCGAGAATGTTCAAACCATAAGGCTCTCTTTTTCAAACATGCGCTTTTGATGTACTTTTAACCTAAGAAAACATCCCAAAAATGTCACAGAGATGAAAAAATAACTGAACAGCAAGCAGTAGCAGGGAAAGTGTTCAGGTCGAAAATTCTAGGCAAATTCCAGGGGGTACATATTAAGCAGCTTAATGAAGGAAGGGAGAGCTGAAAGACGTTACAAAAGTACACAGTAGAAAACCATGAGGCAAGTGACCACATTTTAAATGCCTGGCTTTATTGATAAGTATTTGGTGGTCTGTAGGTAGAACCTCAGCACATTAGACAGCCAACTGGATTTGGGCTACCACAATATCAAGCAGTCTGAGGAAGGGGATGGCCTGTGTTATCAGGCAATCCAGGCACAGAAATCAATTTGGTTATGGCTCTGGTTTTAAAAACATATTCATGGGATGTGAGTGGTGTTTGTTCAGCCAACATTAATTGCCCAATCCCAAACCAAACTCTAGAAGGTGGTAGTGAGCTGCCTTCTTGATTTGCTGCAGTCCTTGGGTTGTAAAAACACTCACTGCTGTTAAAAAAGGAGTTCCAGGATTATAACCCAGCAAACAATGACAGAATGATGATATGGTTCTAAGTCAGGATACTGTGTGGCTTACAGAAGAAGATGCAATGGTAGACTCCCCATGTATCTGCTGCCCTTGTTCTTTAAGATGATAGCAATCATTTGTTTGGAAGGTGGTGTCTAAGCAGCCTTGGTGATCTACTAAGTGCACTTTGTAGATGGTATACACTACTTCCACTGTGTGTCAGTGGTGAAATGAGTGTATGTTGAAGATGGTGGATAAAGTGCCAATCAAGCAAGTTGCTTTATTAAAACAAAGAACTAAAATTGCTGGTGAAACTTAGTAAGTCTGGCAGCATCCATGGGGAGAAAGCTGAATTAATGTTTCAAGTTCAGTGACTCTTCATCAGAATGCTTCGTCTTGGATGGTGTCAAGCTTCTTGAGTGCTGTTAGAAGCTGCATGCATTCAGCCAAATGGAGAGTATTCCATCACATGCTGATTGATGGTGGACAGATGTTCAGTAGACAGGAGGTGACTTGCTCATTGAAAAATTTCTTTTCTGATCCGATCTTCTAGCCAAACATTTGCATGCCTGGTCCAGTTCGGTTCCTGGTCAAAGGTAGTCCTTAAGATGCTAGTGATGGGAGATTTAGTGATGGAAATGTCATAGAATATCAACTGTGATAGTTACATTCGCTCTTATTGGTGGATGGACATTGCTGTATCCAATGCTTCCAACCGATTCTTGAAATCAAGTGAAATATATGTTGTCTGATAACATGCATGTAATGTTTGGGACCCAACATGCTGGGCTTTCCCATCATTGACAATGGGAATGTTCTTGAAGACTCCTCTTCCAATTAATTGTTGAATTGTTTACCGCTATTTATGACTGGATATGGTAAAACTACACAGCTTGATCTTATCCTTCTGGTTGTTTGTCACTTTATCTATGACATTATGGTTCTACTGTTTACCATGCATGTAATCCTGCATTGTAGCTTAACTGTGTGGCACCTGATTTTTTAATGTATGCCTTTTGCTGCTCCTGGCTTGATTTCCTACATTCTTTACTGAATCAGGATCAATTGCCTCACTTGATTGTATGGTAGAGTGAGGAATATCCTGGACCATGCTGTTACAGGAGGTGACTGAGTACAATTCTCTCCTGCTGATGGCCCATTGCACCTTATGGATGCTAAATGTTGAGGTGATAGTCAATAAAACCACAACTTATGGGGATGAAATATTCTTCAATAACAAATATTAACTCTCAAATGTTTGGAGATATTTTACAACAACAAAACTTGTCTACTGAAGTGATTAGTTTGCTATACAATTCAAGGCACAACTGCTACCAGATGTATAATAAAAATCAAACAGCCAAATATTGTATTTACCATCTGTGCATTCTCTGGTGCATCTTCATCCTCATGCAAGGTTTGAACAGTGTCAGGAGGGGGGTTATGAAAAATGAAACAAAGGAATTAAATAATCATATAAAACAAATGGTCTATACTGTATAATGCAAATAATTTTCTGGTTTGTTATTACTTTTTAAGACAGCGCTTTAAACATAAACTTATATTTTGCTATAATGATTCCTCTCAGATCACCCCAGGTGTTGAAGACTTAGGCTTTGGTTCATTTTCCATTATTTTGAGACTGCTATCTAAGTCATTTTGCTCTATTTTCATAATAATTCCTTCCTTCATGCATCATCTAACCCAGTTTACTTATTTGCCAATGGTTCCATTCTATTAATTTCATTCCAAAGACATACAAACTTATCATATCACCGGACCCGAAACATTAACTCTGTTTTTCCTTCACAGATACTGCCAGATCTGCCTAACTTTTCCACCAACTTTGTTTTTGATACAAACTATTACAATGCTTTCCATTGTCCAATAAATGACTCTGTATAATAAGGTCTTCATGCATTTTGATGAACATTGTTTTTATCAATTTGACACAACCAAACTGGGCACATTTTTAACATGTCATCTTACAGGAAAATTGACATTTGGGCCGGCCATCTTTTATGGAAGACTCATAACTTTTACATCCTTAAATAAAAATCATACTTTTTCTGAAAAGAGTAAACAATTGTCAATGACAATCAGGAAATTTTACAAACAGGTGGCACACTAAAAATCAATCTCAATTTATTCATATTTCTATCAAATCTAAGTAACGGAATAACAGTGTTTACTCCAATAATTCCATTTCAGCTGTTCTTCATCTATTAGTATTCTTAGCCCTACCATCTCTTCCGATCTCAAATATAAATTTCGTACATTCTTTCCTGTTAAAGATTTCTTTAAGAAGCATGGTTTTCGCTATTTTGCCAAATACCTACTGAAACATTTCGAAAAATAGACATTTTAAAAATATGAAAAGTATTGTGGATTAATGAGCAAAGTGATGGAGTTACCTCTCTCCGTCCGCCATGTTCTCTGTTGCTAAGAAACGGTAACAACAACCCGGCAGCTGCCCCAAATCCGTTGTCGGACTGTACCACTTTGAGGGAGGGTGTGTTTCCGTGTGGTGGGCGCGGGATGTCAATAATGGGAGGTGCGAGGGGAACGAGCTGACACCCCTCCGCGTGGCTGAGTGGATGTGGACCGGCCCTGTGTGTGACGCCGGTGCTGTCATGTGACTCGGCTCCCCGGCGGTTTGTTCATTTCTGGTTCTCAGCTCAGGAAACGGCTTGAGGTCGACACATTCACTGGATTCGGAGCCGGTTCTAGTTGTTTCTTACAGTGTGGAGGAGTCCCTAGGAGCGTGTCAGAAGATCGGAGTGTGACTGACCACAGCTCCTCAGCTGGTGCCCGAGCGGCTGAGTGTCTCCAGCCTTTTCCATTTTCTATCGCGGCCTGAAATACGTGATGAAGGAGCCGCGCTATGGAAGCTTGTGATTTCAAATAAACCTGTTGGACTATAACCTGGTGTCCTGTGACTTCTGACTTTGTCAACTTCGGCAGCACCGGGACTGCAGAGAACAACAGGAGGAAGTCATTCAGGCGCTCCAATTTGTTTCGCAATTCGGCACCTGATTCTCTGTCAGCACCGCCTTTCACCACAGCCTTCTTCCCATTTACCAACAAGAATCTATTTCAGCATTTAGTTTTAGAAGAGTAAGTACTTTCATTTCTTGCTTCGTACTTCAATGTTGAAAGCATTTTGGTGTATTGCATCTGCCAAAGCATTGGAAGGTACTTTCTGGCGTCAACAGGAGAGATCTTAAAGGGCATTAAATTGGAGATAAGGGGAAAGGTACCTGTGTATTTGAGTTACAACCAACCACAAATAGTGATCTGCTTTGTGATTTTCTATGTTACCTATTTTAAAATACCCACAAACTTTTTTTTGTTGAGTTAGATTTCTTCAAGTTGACTAATGTCAGCTACTTACACAGCTACAAGATTGCTGACTTACATATCTGGATTCTCTGCCTACTGATGTTAGTCTGTGACTGTCAGTTTTTTTTATGTAAATACTATGCTAACTCTATTAGCAACTGAGGCGAGTTAGGTACCTTTTATTCTGGGATGTCGCATATTGCCATTTCATGGAAATCGTTCAAAGCTCTGGAAAATCTATGCTGTGGTACAATGTCACGTTTTGCTTTGAGACTAGGAACTGAATTGCAGATTAGGTTGTAGATAAGTGTTGTCTCTATGCATAGAGACAATGCTTTGGATCTACGACATGGTCATACAGCACAGAAACAGACCCTTTGGCCCAACCAGTCCATGCCGACCATAATCTCAAACTAAATTAGTCTCATCTGCCTGCTCCTGGTCCCTTGGCAAGATGTGGGCATCACTGGCTCAGCCAGCATTTATTGCCTATCCCCTGATTGTTTAGAGGTCACTTTGTGAGAGTAAATCACATTTTGGATCTGGAGATCAGACCCTGAAGGGCGTTCGTGACTCAGATTTTTTTTGTGACAATCACAAGCTTTTAATTCCAGATCTTTGGGTTCAGATTTGAATTTTTATGTCCCCAGAACATGAGCTGAGTTCTGCAGTACTAGTCCGTTGACATTACCACTTTGCCCCCACCTCTCCACTATCTTTTTTTATTCACATATGGGACGTAGGCGTCGCTCGCTGGCCAGCACTTATTACCTGTCCCTAGTTGCCTCTGAACTGAGTGGTTTGCTAGGCCATTTCAGAGGGCAGTTGAGAGTCAACCACATTGATGTGGGTCTGTAGCCGCATTTAGGCCAGACAGGGTAAGGATGGCAGTTTCTGTCCCAAAAGGACATTTGTGAACCAGATGTGTTTTTCCAACAATTGGCAATCATCTTGTGGTCATCACTAGATTTTTAATTCCAGATTATTATTGAATTCAAATTCCATCATCTGTCACGGTGGTATTCGAACCCAGGTCCTCGGAACATTAGGCCATCACCTCCCTGTGGTGTGATCTCATCATGGATGAATGTATATCATTTTAACTTGGATACATGATGGTTGTTCGGCCAGACCTCTTTACTATTCGTGTTATCATCTTGATTGATGGTCAGTTGATCAAATGTGATCTGGATATGTTATTTATTTCTTCATAGGACTTGACCATTGCACTCTCCACTATCATATGACCCAGTGTGGACACAACGGTGTACTGATTTACTATCATCCCATGTATTAGTAAGAAATTCTCAAGTTTGTGTGCTTTGCCTTGGTTCAAATTGAATAATTGTCGACATGCTTGTTGATGCTGCTCTTGTACCACTTTCTCTTTCCTTTCCAATAATGTTGTTGCACTGGTAGTAGCTTGATTTTGTTATGCAAAAGAGAATTGGTGAAATAGTCACCACAAAGTAATCCTGCCAATCAACTTGGAAAATATCAGTAGCAATCCTGCTCTGTGGCCTAGATGAAATCTGCTGTGGAAGGAGAGTTCCTCTTGTTTGTTCCCCTAAAAAGTGGGAGACAGTCTGGGGTAAGCAACTTCTCAAACAGCATTAGAAAAGACAAGGTGATCACAGAGAGTAAACCTGAGTGAAAAGGACAGCAGGCAATTAAAAACTTCTGGCAGAAAGCCCCTTCAACCTATTCCTGTCAGTGTGCTGTCACAAGAAAAGATTGGTGGTTGGTGGGTATGTCTTGCGTCTTATTTTATTAGCCAGTTTTTTTTAAATTCATTCATGGGATGTGGGTGTTGCTGGCTGTGCCAGCGTTTATTGCCCTTGAGAATGTGGTGAGCTGCCTTCTTGAACAGCTGCAGTCTGTGGCATAGGTAAGCACAGAAAGCTATAGGGAGGGAGTTCGAGGATTTTGACCCAGGATATATATTTCCAAGTCTGAATGTGAATACAGGGAACTTGAAGATGGTGATGTTTCCATGTATCTGCTACCATTGTCCGTTTTAGATGATGTGGGTTTGGAAGGTGCTGTCTGACTAGCCTTGGTGAATTTCGGCAGTGCATCTTGAAATTACGCTGTGCTCGACTGAGCTCTGTTGGAGTAAGTGAATGGCACAACATCCACAAGCAAGCAAACTGCTTTGTTCTAGATGGTCTCAAATTTACCAAGTATTGTTGGAGTTGTGCTCAATGAGGAAAGCGGGGAGTATTCCATTGTACTCGTAACTTGTGTCTTGTAGATGGTGGACAGACTTTGGGAAGGCGACTTACTTGCTGTAAAATTCCTAGCTGCTGATCTGTTTGTTTTGTAGCCATTGTATTTATGTGGTTAGTGCAGTGAGTTTCTGGTCAATTGTGTCTCCTAGGATGGTGATAGTGTGGGATTCCATTTTGCCATTGAATGTCAAGGGGCGATGGTTAGATTCTCTCTGGTTGGAGATGGTCTTTGCCTGGTATTTGTGTGTCACGAATGTTACTTGCCACTTTTCAGCCCAAACCTGGATATTGTCTGGGTCTTGCTACATTTGTGTATGGACTGCTTCAATCTGAAGGGTGATGAATAGCACTGAATGTTGTGCAATCATCAGTCAACATCCCCAATTCTGACCTTCTAAGGGAAGGTCTTTGAAGCAGCTGGGACACTACCTTGAGGAACTCCTACAGAGATGATCTGGAACTGAAATGACTGATCTCCAACACATGAGGTTTTCGATAGATCACTTATGGCAGTTTGTGGTCAGTATGAATGATATTCTTGCTGATTTGGGTTTCTATGAAGCTGTTGTATCTCAAAACCTAGAACAAGAATTTCTCAATCAGTATTAGAGCAGTTATCAGCTGTTTTAATGATCTCAGAACCAAATTCAGTAAGATTGTCTTCCTGTAATATGCTGTGAGGCCTTTCTGAGATGCATCTACTTCGTGGTAATCTTAAAGGGGTCATAATATGAAAACACAGTTATTGTATGATGGCGCATTTTTTGAGAAACTGACAAGTGTGGATCTTTCTTCCATGTATGGCGTGTTTTTGGCAAGGAAGAACTCAAACAACTGAAAGAACTGCGGATGCTATAACAAAAACAAAGTTGCTGGAAAAGCTCAGCAGGTCTGGTAGCATCTGTGGAGGAGAAAACAGTTAATGTTTCGGGTCCGGTGACCCTTCCTCAGAACTCTGTCAGTTCTTTTGGTTTTTAATGCGGATGCTATAAATTAGGAACAAAAACAAAAGTTGCTGGAAATGCTCAGCAGGTCTGGCAGCATCTGTGGGGGAGGGGGATAAAAAAAATCAGTTAACATTTCAGGTGTGGTGACCTTCCTCAGAACTGATGGTAGCTGGGAAAATATCAGTTTATATGCAGAAAATAGGGAGGGGTATGGGATAGGGAGTAAACGATAGGATAGAGCCTGAAGAGAGAGAAGAGCAGTTGGATAGACAATGAGCAGGCTGGGAGGGTGAATAGTTGTTAATGGGGACTGTGACAAAGAGACTAAATTAAGTTACACACCAAAGGTCCAGACTTTGAGGTAAAGAGATTTTATTCGTGATATCACAGAGTCAAGACTGACAAAAGGTCAGGTCTGAAGACACCGGCAAGCATAAAAAAGAAGCAGAATTTATACAGTGGTACAAACAAGTTAAAACAAACTGTACTGTGTTTTAGCAAGGCAAGGTCATTACTTACGCAACCAGACGTACAATAATTAAAGCAGAATGCGGTGAAGATAAGAGTGTACAGATGCTGTGAGCTCTAGCTTTTTGCTATCTGTCCTACGAGACTTCTCAGACTAGGGAAAGGCAAGTTGCAGTTACAGCAATATGCACTGTTTCATAAAGCTTAAGTTTCTCTACTTCGTACTCCTAGTCTTGTATTATTTTAACTCATTACTGCTCAGCCTAAATTAAACAGTCTCAACATACAATTATTCCACAATTCCCTCCTTTTTGATCCCCAGATCAACTTCACCAGTCTTCCTCTGCGAATGGGGGGTCGTATCCCAGGGGAAAAGGTCTCATGCCCAAGCATTCTTTCTCGTCATAATTGGGACTGTTGGATATGTAACGGGGAAACATAATAATATTGGGAGCAATGGCTATTACCCATGGGGGTACCCTTTTCTCAAATTACTATTCGAGTGAGGCAGAGAGAGGCCGTGTGGTTGTTTTCAGTAGTTAGCGTAAAAAGGAGGTGACAGGGAGGAGGTGTTACGATAATCCCATGAAAGTGTTAAAGAAGTACCCCGCAGACTTCCACTGTTGCCTGTCTGTGTCGGTGTTAACAATATAGCAACCAGCTGCAAACTGTCCTGATTTCTGGGCAGTGAGCTATTCTGTTTTAATACCCACTCCGCCACTTCGGAGGCATTAAAGGAGATTGGCCATAATGGGATTCCCCGTTTTGAATGAATCGGAATGTGGGCGCACACCCAGCAAGAGGAAACGTTTAAACGCATTGCAAATTCATAGCTTAAAGACAGAAATGAGTTGTGGGCAGGGGCTTGTTCTATGTAATCCGACACGATACCCCACACACATAGTCCATGTACTGTTAACACCAGGAACCTCATTCTGGCCCCTGTGGGTGGACCTGTCACCGTGGTTCCAGATCCTGGTTTACAACGTGTCCCGTGAATCCAGTCCGGCTTGCCTTGCACTTTGACAACTGTCAAAGGGTCCTTTCCACCTAGGAGAAAGAGAGCCTTTTTCGAGTGATTGGATATACACAAAATCACCAGGTTTAAACTGATGAGTATTCCCTTCCTTGGGCTTTGGCAGTGCCTCTAATACCGTCGCATGGTTGGACCAAGCTGCCTCACTCAGGGCCTGCGCATACTGCAGGATTTTCTCATCGACCCATATTAGTGCTACGTCGGCCCCAGTCATCGGGGGCTTGGTGCCAGTGGTCATGGATCTTCCCATTAAAACCTCAAAGGGGGTCAGGCCTGTCGTTCTATTAACTTGGTTTCTTAGGATGTATAGGGTAATGGGTAAAGCTTCAGGCCACTTTAATCCAGTCTCCTGGCACACTTTAGCCAGGGTATTCTTTAAAGTCCCATTGATCCTTTCTACCACCCCCGAGCACTGGGACCAATAGGGTATGTGCACTTTCCATTCAAATCCCATAGCCTGAGTCAGAGCCACTACCACCTTTCCTGTAAAGTGTGTCCCTGTATCGCTATTTATCCTCAGGGGTATTCTGAATCATGGGATGATGTCTTTCATTAGACGTTTTACCACTGTCCTGGCATCATCTTTTCCAGTTGCAAAAGCCTCTATCCACTTTGAAAACATAATCATTATCACCAATATGTATTTAAATCCTCCAGAGGCTGGCATGTGCACAAAATCCATCTGCAGATTCCTAATGGGTCCTGCCAGTACTGGCAAGTGATCAAATCAGGCTGGGGTCTTCCCTCTATTATACTGTTGGCAAATACTACAAGTTTCAGTTACCTGCTGAATAGCAGTTGTTGTTATTCCTGGTGCAAACCATTGCTGGGTAACTTGGTGAAGCACCCCCCCTACCCCTTTTCCTACATGCCCTTGAGGTGGGCAAGTGCATGGAGGAAACCTTTTGGGCAGACCACCCTGCCAGTGGGGTGTCTCCATAGATTATCAGAATCCTGTATACAACCATCCCGAACCCAGTTTGCTTTTTCTTGTTCACTGGCCCCTTCCTGGGCCTGTACTGCAACAGCCAAATCAATGGCCTCAGGAAGTTTTTGGCATGCAAAAGAGGAAAAATCCATTCCTCGGGATAGAGCAGCTGTCTTAGTCGTTTCATCTGCGACAGCATTGCCTAGTGAGACTTCATCCTGCGCATGTGTGTGTGCCTTGCACTTCATAATGGCTAGCCTAGTGAGGATAAGGCTTAGAGCAAGTTACCTATCAGGGTAGCATGCTGGATGGGCTTACCAGAGGAGGTGATAAATCCACAATGCTGCCACAAGGTCCCAAAATCGCGCACCACTCCGAATGCATACCGCTAACTGGTGTAGATATTAGCAGTTTGGTCCTCAGCGAGAATACAAGTGCGGGTGAGTGCGTTGAGGTGCCAAAGGCTTCCAATAATTCAAAAGGGGTGACGACTGCATACCCAGCCAGTGTGGCAGTGTCATAAGGCCAGTATTAAATAGAATTCCTACAGTGTGGGAACAGGCCTTTTGGCCCAACAAGTCCACACCAATCCTCAGAGCATCCCACCCAGAACCCATCCCCTTATAACCCACCTAAGCTACGCATCCCTGAACACTATGGGCAATTTAGCATGGCCAGTCCACCTACCCTGCACATCTTTGGACTGTGGGAGGAAACTGGGGTACCCAGAGGAAACCTATGCAGACATGGGGAAAATATGCAAACTCCACACAGTCGCCCAAGGGTGGAATTGAGCCCAGGTCCCTGGCGATGTGAGGCAACAGTGCTAACCACTGAGCCACCGTGCCACCCCATAGTATGAGGAACCATCGGTGAAAAGCACCAAATCAGCATTGTCCAGGGGTGTGGATTGGAAGTCAGGGCAGGGAGACGTGACAGAATCGGTGACCTGCAGGCAGTCGTGCTCGCTTTCGTCCATTTCACCACTGTCAGGGAGAAGGATGGCAGGGTTTAATGAGGGTGCTCGCCTAAAGGAAATTTTTGGTTTGGACAACAGCATGACCTGGTACCCAGTGTGGCGGGTGGTGGTGAAATGTTGTGTCGCTGGTGAATGTAGAAGCAGTAGGACTGCATGAGGGGCCAAAATCTCTCACTTATAGTCCAAAACAAAATCACAGCAGTGGTGGCAACTGCTCGTAGACAGTCAATCATTCCTCTAACAACAGGAGGCAACTGAACTGAGTAGTATGCTTCCGGCTGCTTGAGTCTGCTGTGCTCCTGGGTCAGAATGCCACTTGCAAACTCCTCCTCTTCGCTGACATAGAGGGCAAAGGGCTTGTTGTAATCAGGAATCCCCAGGGCAGGGGCTTGAGTCAGGACCATTTTGAGCTCCCAATAGCTTGTTGCCACTTTTCAGTCCAGTCTATTTCTGTCAGTTGCCCCCTCAATGTAGTTTACCGCAGCACAGCATCCATTCGTCAATATTCAGGTATCCATTGTCTACAATAGTTCACCATACGAAGAAAGGACAGCATTTCTTTTTGTATCATGGGTCTGGGTGCCTTCAATACCACCTCGACCCTCTCTGGTCCCAGTTAGCACATACCGTTCTTGAGAACAAAGCCTAAGTATTGCACTGAGGGCTGGCACAATTGTGGTTTTGGAGCAGAGACCCAATGTCCTTTATCGACCAGATGAAGCAGCAACGCCACAGTGTCTGGTTGACAGGCATCACAATCGTGGGAGGTAGTCAATCAATCATCGGCATATTGCAGTACCATATGATCACCGAGGACATCCGTTTGGACTGCGGAGGCATATACGGCCGGCCTCTCAGTGTAGCCTTGGGGAATCCGGGTCCATGTATACTGTCTGCCACTGTAGGTAAATGCAAAGAGATCTTGGCTGTCCTCATGGAGAGAAATAGAAAAGAAGGCTGAGCAGCGGTCACTGACTGTAACAGGACGAGTCGGGGGGCGCAGGGAGGACAGAATCACATTGGTGTCAAGGACTACGGGGTGACGGGTACTACAATCTGATTGATGGCACGTATGTCCTGGACAAAGCACCACTCGTCCTTCTGTCCAGGTTTTGGGATAGGCAGTATGGGAGTGTTGCAGGGCCTATGGGTAGGGTGCAAAACACCTTCAGCGAATCGCGTCTTGATGACCAGCCTTATCCCCTCCTTTTGACAAACAGTACTGTTTAATAAAGGGTAGGGAAGCCACGGCTCAAACATTCATCTGACGTGGCAGGGCCAAGGAGACCAGGCCAACATGGTTTTTATGCAGTGCCCACAAGGAGAAAGGGACAGTCTGCAGGAGGAGAGGAAAAAACAAGTCTACCAAGGGGTCTGGCTGAAATTGACAGAATGTCATTTCCCATTTCCCAGGCAGTATCCTAATACAGCCCAAATGAGCCGAAAGGACATCAATCAGTACAATCCTGAAAGCCTCAAGAGGTACCTTTTCATTGTGCCAAGGATTTTCCTCACCTAATCCCTTTACCATAGAGCCAATCTGTTTTGGGGTCACAGGGGCCTTTACGGCCAAGGTGACACGAAGGACTGACTTGGGACCCTTTCAAACGAGGAACCCTGCGTATGAGTCACATCACTCGCCGCTCCCAATCCCAAGGAGCTGAAATAAATCTTTTCCCCCAGAGCAAACGGTATCAGACATGTCTAAGAAGGGTTTAGTTTTTCTAGCGTAATTCTCAGACTTAGAATTTTTAGAGAATAAGGCCATGCAATGGGTCTTAGTAAGCAATCTACAGGTGGAGAGCAAATGATGTAAATAGCGCAGGCACTCATCGCTCCTATCTGCAAGAGCTGCAGCTAAACGCACTAGCATTTTCTCAAGGGGGTTGTTCCATAGTTGCCAACAGTACAAAACAGCTACTTCAGATTCTAGAGCTTCCATGTCTTTGAGCAGCATGCTATAGGCTTGTGGAACTGAATGTTTGGGCAATTCAAGAAATAGTCCCTGCCGAATGCAGTGAATCGTGGCCCCTAACTTACAAAGCACTTAGCGTCCTAATAAGCTCACTGGGGAATGTTTGGCAATAACAAAGGTCTCGTGCACACTATGATCTCCAATTTGTATAGTCACGGGATGGGACAGTGGCTCAACCTTAGCAATTCTAGCTACTCCTATGGTAGAAATCTCTTTAGGACTACAGGGTAATTCCACAGAGCGGGGTACAGATGAAATTGTCGCGCCAGAATCAATTAGAAAGTTTACTCGTCTCCCCTTAATTTCTATTTCTGCCATTGGGTCTTCCAGGGAGAAGAGGATATTCTGATCATTGCAGCCTGTATTGACACCCCTCTGTGGCACCCCAATTGTCTCTGAGGGAAAGGGTTGTTGAATAAAAAGGGACAACTCTGTTTCTGGTCTACTCTGCAGGTCCCTTCCTGGCCCAATGGCCTTTCTGCCCGCATTGCCAGCAAACATCGTGCTCTTTGTTTCTTCCTTGCCATCTCTGACCACAATCACCATTATGGGGCTTTCGTTGGTTACCTCCAGATCCCGCTTTGTAGCGGTCCTACTCCTCGTCTGGACCCCTTCTATGCCCGAAGTACTGTCCAGGGACGAAGAGATCCCCATTTCAGGAAGCTGGGGAGGTTGTGGGTTATTATAAGGAGGCGGACGGTCTCTGAGGGCAGCTGCCAACAGAATGTCATTCATAACCTCATCTTTGTTTTCATCAATCTGTTCTAATTTTGGATATATTCCCACGGCAGGGGCACTGTCCTTATTACCCTTTTTGATCTCATTACTTTTGTCTTTCTTGGGTTTTGGAGGCTGATGACATTTCGCCACTTCCAACCATTTGTCAAAGCACAAAATCGTATAATTATAATCCCACTTGGGATCCCCGTTTCCTCCTTCCGTCTTGCTTTTCCAAAACTGTATCTTTTTCAAGTCAAACGTACCTCCGTAAGGCCAATCCCCATGAGACCACCCATACAAATCACTGGAAAGCGTAACAGAGTACCAACTGCCTCCGGTTTCTAGCCAACATTTTAGGCGGGCGATCCTGGAGGGACCAATGCGTCCCCAAGCATCTTTCTTTGTTTTTCGATCTTCTTGATCTACTTTATGGTTTTTTTTTCATCTTCACTGCAAACTCTTTCTCCTTGGGCTTCTTGGCTTCCTTTCTTGTTCTGTTGCCCATCGTCTTAACAATCCCCACTTACCAAGGGATCAAACTCTGAATTCAAATGAATGTTAATACTTTATAGTTATGTATCTTAACTGTATGTCTCCCTATGTTCCAGTTCACCCTTTCCCAACCCCAGGATCTCTCTATACTTCAGTCCTCAAAGTCTCCTTGACTCTTCCTTTTGTCTCACTAATTAATGTATAATAAGGAGGATTTCTTTGAGTTTCTGTCTTCCGCACATGGTCTTGCCTGTCCCATCTCTCCGGTCTCCCTGAGTTCAGATCAGGGTGGCTCAACGTGAGTCACCGGCCGGGGAAACTCGAATCCCTCTCTCGCTTCCCTTTTTGTCAATTTGTTCGGATCCCGTATATGTACATATACAATACATACATATTGGGATCCTGCTGGCTATGCCAGATTGTCAGACTAAACTAAATTACACACCAAAGGTCCAGGCTTCGAAGTAAAGAGATTTTATTCGTGATATCTTGGAGAATCAACACTGACAAAAGGTCAGGTCCGAAGACCCCGACAAGCATAAAGAAGCAGCAGTATTTATACAATGGTACAAACAGTTAAAACAAATTGTACTGTGTTTTAGCAAGGCAAGATCATTACTTAGGCAACCAGACATACATCAATTAAAATAGAATGTGGCGAAGATAAGAGTGTACAGATGCTGCGAGCTCCAGTTTTTTGCTATCTGTCCTACGTAACTTCTCGGACTAGGGAAAGGCAAGTTGCATTTACAGCAATATGCACTGTTTCATAAAGCTAGAGTTTCTCTACTTCGTGCTCCTAGTCATGTATTATCTTAACTCATTACTACTCAGCCTAAATTAAACAGTCTCAACATACAATTATTTCACAGACTGTTAGTGACTAACGATAGGTGGTGTGTAATGGCAGGCGATGTGATAGCAAGGCATTATGTATGGTGTATGGGAGATGTTAGGCCCTAAAATTATTGAACTCAGTTTAATAGGTAATAGTTCAATAATTATTGAGTTCAATAGCCAGACCATTATCAACTCCTTTGTCTACCTAACGGCTCTTCTCTCTCTTCGAGCTCTATCCTATCATTTATTCCCTACCCCATACCCCTCCCTATTTTCTGCACATAGACCGACATTTTCCCAGCTACAATCAGTTCTGCGGAAGGGTCACCGGACCCGAAACGTTGACTCTGATTTTTTTTTTCCCTCACAGATGCTATCAGACATGCTGAGCATTTCCAGCATCTTCTGTTTTTGAACTCGGAAAGGAACTAGTTTGTTTAAAATTCAATGTACAGGAACAAACAGCAAAAGAAACGGAGACGCCTTTCGTCAGTTGCCCTTTTTTTTGCTTAACCGTCTTCTATACGTTTTCTATTTTGCCCCTACTTCTAGGTGGCCTGGGTAATTTTTTGATACGGCCCATATGTTGTTGAAATATGTTCTGGAAGATGGGGAATCTGAAGAAACATGTTGTTTTTGTAGATGAGAAAAGCCACCACTTTTAAAAGATTTGAACATTCCACTGAATATGGTGACTGCTGCAATAGTTGTGCCAGAGTAAAGCGCTTTCGGATGCTGCTGATCTGCTCCAACTTCTTTGAATGTGCATCCTCCACTGAGTAGAGCATCCATGGTATATTCAAGTTTGTCTAGAAATGCTTTTCTGGAGGATTTGATGTGTGTAGAAACCATAAGCATTTTGGCTGACTTAGCTCCAGTGAAATTATGTTTTGTTCCTTTTAAGTCAACATTTACCTATGAATTGGTCAATTATTTAACCAGTTTTTGGTGGTAGGACAAGAATTTAAACCTGAAATTGATTCAAACTTTATTTTGATTTTATAATGTGAAAAATTTGTCAGGCTGTTCCTGGCAAATGTCGATGGATTGCCAGTTCAAGTGGGAAAAAAATCTATTTTAGTGTAGCGCAATTTGTGGGTGTTTTTTTGCCAAATCTCTCTCCTTATTGTTGCTGCCCCTTTGAAGGTCACAGGCTTGTTCATTTTTTTTAAAAAAAAAATCACTTTTCCTTTGTAAAAGTAAGGCAAAAATCTTTTCATGCCACTTCAGAATAGGCTGTCTAGGTAACAGTAAGGCTTCTTTAGTTTGGAAACATTTTCTCTTGCTGTTGACTTCTGTACTTTATTCCAGGATTTCTTTCCTAGATTGGAGCTGCCTTTCAGCACTTGTTAAACATTTTTGTTTTAAATGAAAGCT